TTTTTTTTTTTTTCCATATGCTGTTTTTTTTTTTTTTTTTTATGGGGATTGTTTTTTTTTTTTTTTTTTAAGCCCCACCTTTTTTTTTTTTTTTTTTGGGTTGGAGGTTTTTTTTTTTTTTTTTTCCAGGTAAATTTTTTTTTTTTTTTTTTTCTATACAATTTTTTTTTTTTTTTTTTTTCCATGTTTCCTTTTTTTTTTTTTTTTTTACCCCTGTGGTTTTTTTTTTTTTTTTTTCACCCTTGTGTTTTTTTTTTTTTTTTTTTCCCAGGTTTTTTTTTTTTTTTTTTTTTATCTAGGTGGTTTTTTTTTTTTTTTTTTCACTCTGGCATTTTTTTTTTTTTTTTTTTTAGTGCCATTTTTTTTTTTTTTTTTTTAAGGCTTATGTTTTTTTTTTTTTTTTTTAGCAACCCAATTTTTTTTTTTTTTTTTTTGAGTCACAATTTTTTTTTTTTTTTTTTCAGGATGTAGTTTTTTTTTTTTTTTTTTAACCCTGGGCTTTTTTTTTTTTTTTTTTAGTTGGAACTTTTTTTTTTTTTTTTTTTGATCTCCTAGTTTTTTTTTTTTTTTTTTTGGTAGCTGGTTTTTTTTTTTTTTTTTTGACCAATGTTTTTTTTTTTTTTTTTTTTTCGAGAGTTTTTTTTTTTTTTTTTTTTTTAGAGCTCGGTTTTTTTTTTTTTTTTTTGGAATTGTTTTTTTTTTTTTTTTTTTTTGATGATCTATTTTTTTTTTTTTTTTTTTAACCGTGGTTTTTTTTTTTTTTTTTTTTTTTTTCCTTTTTTTTTTTTTTTTTTTTTTATAGAACAATTTTTTTTTTTTTTTTTTCTGAGTTAGCTTTTTTTTTTTTTTTTTTCCCTATAGCATTTTTTTTTTTTTTTTTTTGCTTGTGATTTTTTTTTTTTTTTTTTTTTACAGCCAATTTTTTTTTTTTTTTTTTCAATTTTACTTTTTTTTTTTTTTTTTTTTGTCAGCTTTTTTTTTTTTTTTTTTTTTTCACGTATATTTTTTTTTTTTTTTTTTTTGCATGGGGATTTTTTTTTTTTTTTTTTTTCGCACATATTTTTTTTTTTTTTTTTTGAACATATATTTTTTTTTTTTTTTTTTTTCAATAATGTTTTTTTTTTTTTTTTTTTAATTCACAAGTTTTTTTTTTTTTTTTTTGTATTTAATTTTTTTTTTTTTTTTTTTTTATAGGCTTTTTTTTTTTTTTTTTTTTTTTTCTATCATTTTTTTTTTTTTTTTTTTAAATGTTGACTTTTTTTTTTTTTTTTTTGTTCTTCCATTTTTTTTTTTTTTTTTTTATGGTGGATTTTTTTTTTTTTTTTTTTTCGATTTTATTTTTTTTTTTTTTTTTTTTGTGTTCAGGGTTTTTTTTTTTTTTTTTTGCAAATTAGTTTTTTTTTTTTTTTTTTTTTCAATACACTTTTTTTTTTTTTTTTTTTATTAGTAGGTTTTTTTTTTTTTTTTTTGACCAAGCAGTTTTTTTTTTTTTTTTTTATAATATTAATTTTTTTTTTTTTTTTTTATTTCTTTAGTTTTTTTTTTTTTTTTTTTCTTTCCTGTTTTTTTTTTTTTTTTTTTCATTCCCACTTTTTTTTTTTTTTTTTTTATTAAACGCTTTTTTTTTTTTTTTTTTTGACCTGGGATTTTTTTTTTTTTTTTTTTGTTCCTGTCTTTTTTTTTTTTTTTTTTTTGAAAAATTTTTTTTTTTTTTTTTTTTTCATCTGAAGATTTTTTTTTTTTTTTTTTGGCGCTGTGGTTTTTTTTTTTTTTTTTTTCAATAAGCATTTTTTTTTTTTTTTTTTTGGTCTAATCTTTTTTTTTTTTTTTTTTTACCCAATTATTTTTTTTTTTTTTTTTTGTGACTTTGGTTTTTTTTTTTTTTTTTTGTCTCTTCACTTTTTTTTTTTTTTTTTTAAATGCCTGGTTTTTTTTTTTTTTTTTTGAGTTGAGCTTTTTTTTTTTTTTTTTTTTCTTCATAATTTTTTTTTTTTTTTTTTTTTTGTTTTTCTTTTTTTTTTTTTTTTTTAACTTGAGCTTTTTTTTTTTTTTTTTTTAGGCATAGAATTTTTTTTTTTTTTTTTTAAACATGTCATTTTTTTTTTTTTTTTTTTTAAGTATAGTTTTTTTTTTTTTTTTTTCAGTCATGACTTTTTTTTTTTTTTTTTTCAGTCTTGTGTTTTTTTTTTTTTTTTTTCTCTGCTCATTTTTTTTTTTTTTTTTTTAAAACAAAAGTTTTTTTTTTTTTTTTTTTTCTACAAACTTTTTTTTTTTTTTTTTTAGGTGTAGTATTTTTTTTTTTTTTTTTTAAAGCATCTCTTTTTTTTTTTTTTTTTTTTTTCTATTGTTTTTTTTTTTTTTTTTTAATACATTTCTTTTTTTTTTTTTTTTTTGTTTATTGGCTTTTTTTTTTTTTTTTTTACAAATAACATTTTTTTTTTTTTTTTTTAAAAACAGTTTTTTTTTTTTTTTTTTTTATGTATGTAATTTTTTTTTTTTTTTTTTAAAAATGTTCTTTTTTTTTTTTTTTTTTTGGTTAAGGCTTTTTTTTTTTTTTTTTTTTAGCTAAACTTTTTTTTTTTTTTTTTTGACTTCTAGGTTTTTTTTTTTTTTTTTTGAAGGTGACCTTTTTTTTTTTTTTTTTTAAGGATTGTTTTTTTTTTTTTTTTTTTTTAAGAGTTATTTTTTTTTTTTTTTTTTTAGGGAAAAGGTTTTTTTTTTTTTTTTTTAAATTTTCTATTTTTTTTTTTTTTTTTTAAAATTTGTGTTTTTTTTTTTTTTTTTTTTCTGTGTCTTTTTTTTTTTTTTTTTTTTAGCTAAAATTTTTTTTTTTTTTTTTTTGCATATTTTGTTTTTTTTTTTTTTTTTTGGTACCCTTCTTTTTTTTTTTTTTTTTTTCTGTTGGGCTTTTTTTTTTTTTTTTTTTAGATTTCCCTTTTTTTTTTTTTTTTTTATGAGGTGGGTTTTTTTTTTTTTTTTTTGGCTGTCTCTTTTTTTTTTTTTTTTTTTATGATCACTCTTTTTTTTTTTTTTTTTTCCTGTGATTGTTTTTTTTTTTTTTTTTTTGTTTTCACCTTTTTTTTTTTTTTTTTTAGCCAGTTGTTTTTTTTTTTTTTTTTTTGACAAGGACATTTTTTTTTTTTTTTTTTCTGGTAGCCATTTTTTTTTTTTTTTTTTAAGCAACCCTTTTTTTTTTTTTTTTTTTTAAATAGCAGTTTTTTTTTTTTTTTTTTATTCTAGATGTTTTTTTTTTTTTTTTTTATCGACTGAATTTTTTTTTTTTTTTTTTTCCCTTATGATTTTTTTTTTTTTTTTTTCGTATTCTGTTTTTTTTTTTTTTTTTTTAACAGAGCCCTTTTTTTTTTTTTTTTTTCTCCATGGAGTTTTTTTTTTTTTTTTTTCTCAAAGGAGTTTTTTTTTTTTTTTTTTCTCGAGCAGTTTTTTTTTTTTTTTTTTTTGCTCTCCTATTTTTTTTTTTTTTTTTTTGCCAGAGGATTTTTTTTTTTTTTTTTTGGAAGGTGGTTTTTTTTTTTTTTTTTTTCAGTGATGTTTTTTTTTTTTTTTTTTTTAAGTCAGTTATTTTTTTTTTTTTTTTTTGGTGAGGTAGTTTTTTTTTTTTTTTTTTAAGAGAGGAATTTTTTTTTTTTTTTTTTAGGAGAGGCCTTTTTTTTTTTTTTTTTTACTCTGGAAATTTTTTTTTTTTTTTTTTATTACCTGGTTTTTTTTTTTTTTTTTTTAGATCAGCTATTTTTTTTTTTTTTTTTTATCTGATTCTTTTTTTTTTTTTTTTTTTAGGTCTTTTATTTTTTTTTTTTTTTTTTCTGTAGCATTTTTTTTTTTTTTTTTTTTTGTGTTTCTTTTTTTTTTTTTTTTTTTTGTTTATATTTTTTTTTTTTTTTTTTTTTTCCCTCTAGGTTTTTTTTTTTTTTTTTTTTGAATCTAATTTTTTTTTTTTTTTTTTTCAGTGTCTTTTTTTTTTTTTTTTTTTTCTCATTTCTTTTTTTTTTTTTTTTTTTTTTAGTCAGCTTTTTTTTTTTTTTTTTTTTTAGGTTTATTTTTTTTTTTTTTTTTTTTACTTATTATTTTTTTTTTTTTTTTTTTATTTTCCTTCTTTTTTTTTTTTTTTTTTCCACTTTTGTTTTTTTTTTTTTTTTTTTTCTAATTTCTTTTTTTTTTTTTTTTTTTTTTACTTTTCTTTTTTTTTTTTTTTTTTGCAAAGGCACTTTTTTTTTTTTTTTTTTCTCTCATAGATTTTTTTTTTTTTTTTTTGTTTGACATATTTTTTTTTTTTTTTTTTTGCTTTGAAATTTTTTTTTTTTTTTTTTTTTATTTTCTTTTTTTTTTTTTTTTTTTAAAGTGTTGTTTTTTTTTTTTTTTTTTTTTGTTAATTCTTTTTTTTTTTTTTTTTTTGTCATTCTTTTTTTTTTTTTTTTTTTTTTTATTAAAGTTTTTTTTTTTTTTTTTTGACCTTTAAATTTTTTTTTTTTTTTTTTAACCAAGAGTTTTTTTTTTTTTTTTTTTTACTCCATGATTTTTTTTTTTTTTTTTTATTTTCTACTTTTTTTTTTTTTTTTTTTGGATATATGGTTTTTTTTTTTTTTTTTTGAAGAATATCTTTTTTTTTTTTTTTTTTTTGCTGAGGCTTTTTTTTTTTTTTTTTTAAGAGAAAAGTTTTTTTTTTTTTTTTTTATCTGTTTTATTTTTTTTTTTTTTTTTTATGAAGACCCTTTTTTTTTTTTTTTTTTGAGTATTTTTTTTTTTTTTTTTTTTTTTAGTAGAAAGTTTTTTTTTTTTTTTTTTTGGCAGAGAGGTTTTTTTTTTTTTTTTTTAACTGGAGGATTTTTTTTTTTTTTTTTTGGTTTAAATTTTTTTTTTTTTTTTTTTTTCTTCCCATCTTTTTTTTTTTTTTTTTTCTTCTCTCTGTTTTTTTTTTTTTTTTTTCTCATGTGAGTTTTTTTTTTTTTTTTTTAGGGAGAAGATTTTTTTTTTTTTTTTTTCCTCTACCTGTTTTTTTTTTTTTTTTTTCAGCTTGAAATTTTTTTTTTTTTTTTTTGCCATATTTTTTTTTTTTTTTTTTTTTTCCCCATCATTTTTTTTTTTTTTTTTTTTAATTTCTGCTTTTTTTTTTTTTTTTTTTTTGCCCCGTTTTTTTTTTTTTTTTTTTTAAGATGTATATTTTTTTTTTTTTTTTTTTCCTTGCATTTTTTTTTTTTTTTTTTTTTATCTGCTGTTTTTTTTTTTTTTTTTTTAATGACTAGTTTTTTTTTTTTTTTTTTTGTACTTTTTATTTTTTTTTTTTTTTTTTTGCCTGTAATTTTTTTTTTTTTTTTTTTCAAGGTAGGATTTTTTTTTTTTTTTTTTAGTTCAAGGTTTTTTTTTTTTTTTTTTTTGCCACTGTATTTTTTTTTTTTTTTTTTAGTGAGACCCTTTTTTTTTTTTTTTTTTAAAAAAAAAATTTTTTTTTTTTTTTTTTTGTATTATTCTTTTTTTTTTTTTTTTTTGGTTTTAAGCTTTTTTTTTTTTTTTTTTGTATTAACGTTTTTTTTTTTTTTTTTTTTGTGATATCTTTTTTTTTTTTTTTTTTTTCAGTCTTTATTTTTTTTTTTTTTTTTTGCATTAAAAATTTTTTTTTTTTTTTTTTCTTGATATTGTTTTTTTTTTTTTTTTTTCAGTCTCTGTTTTTTTTTTTTTTTTTTTAGCCCATTCATTTTTTTTTTTTTTTTTTTTTTATTCATTTTTTTTTTTTTTTTTTTTATCTTTGGTTTTTTTTTTTTTTTTTTTTTTTTTCTTTTTTTTTTTTTTTTTTTTTGTTCAGGTTGTTTTTTTTTTTTTTTTTTTTATTAATTATTTTTTTTTTTTTTTTTTACACAAGTGTTTTTTTTTTTTTTTTTTTTCCTCATGCTTTTTTTTTTTTTTTTTTTCACTCCTTTTTTTTTTTTTTTTTTTTTTAAATGAGACCTTTTTTTTTTTTTTTTTTTCCGTTCTTCTTTTTTTTTTTTTTTTTTATTTTTACTCTTTTTTTTTTTTTTTTTTCTACTTTCTTTTTTTTTTTTTTTTTTTTTTTTCTTGAGTTTTTTTTTTTTTTTTTTTGCCCAGGCTTTTTTTTTTTTTTTTTTTCTCAACTCACTTTTTTTTTTTTTTTTTTGGGTTCAAGCTTTTTTTTTTTTTTTTTTTCCCGAATAGTTTTTTTTTTTTTTTTTTATCACCACGCTTTTTTTTTTTTTTTTTTTTAGTAGAGATTTTTTTTTTTTTTTTTTCTCAGGCTGGTTTTTTTTTTTTTTTTTTAGGTGATCCGTTTTTTTTTTTTTTTTTTAGTGCTGAGATTTTTTTTTTTTTTTTTTGCGCCCAGCCTTTTTTTTTTTTTTTTTTCCTTTTTTGCTTTTTTTTTTTTTTTTTTTGGGTTCTAGTTTTTTTTTTTTTTTTTTTTGTAGTAAATTTTTTTTTTTTTTTTTTCTTATTTAGCTTTTTTTTTTTTTTTTTTCTGTTAACACTTTTTTTTTTTTTTTTTTACTTACTGCATTTTTTTTTTTTTTTTTTTCTTGTTTCCTTTTTTTTTTTTTTTTTTTGACCTGGTTTTTTTTTTTTTTTTTTTTAGGATGATATTTTTTTTTTTTTTTTTTTTAGCCACAAATTTTTTTTTTTTTTTTTTAAAAGTATGATTTTTTTTTTTTTTTTTTATAAAATTCTTTTTTTTTTTTTTTTTTTTCTCTGATATTTTTTTTTTTTTTTTTTTCCTGAGTTGTTTTTTTTTTTTTTTTTTTTCAGTCTAATTTTTTTTTTTTTTTTTTTTTTTCTTCCCTTTTTTTTTTTTTTTTTTTTCCTCTCCTTTTTTTTTTTTTTTTTTTCCTCCTCCTCTTTTTTTTTTTTTTTTTTCTTCTTCTTCTTTTTTTTTTTTTTTTTTTTCTTCCTCTTTTTTTTTTTTTTTTTTTCATGTGTGTCTTTTTTTTTTTTTTTTTTTACTTGATCTTTTTTTTTTTTTTTTTTTAAGATTTATCTTTTTTTTTTTTTTTTTTAAATCTTACCTTTTTTTTTTTTTTTTTTTGGATCTTGGTTTTTTTTTTTTTTTTTTTGACTTGAATTTTTTTTTTTTTTTTTTTTTTTGCCTCTTTTTTTTTTTTTTTTTTTCGTTTTTTAATTTTTTTTTTTTTTTTTTCTGGATCTTTTTTTTTTTTTTTTTTTTTTTTTGCTCATTTTTTTTTTTTTTTTTTTTTGTTGCTCCTTTTTTTTTTTTTTTTTTTCCAGTTGTGTTTTTTTTTTTTTTTTTTGAACCCAACATTTTTTTTTTTTTTTTTTTCACCCACTTTTTTTTTTTTTTTTTTTTTCATGGGTTGTTTTTTTTTTTTTTTTTTTTTTTTTTTCTTTTTTTTTTTTTTTTTTTTTGTTATTGTTTTTTTTTTTTTTTTTTTTTATATTTTTTTTTTTTTTTTTTTTTTCCCTTAAGTTTTTTTTTTTTTTTTTTTTGATCAAGTTGTTTTTTTTTTTTTTTTTTAGTTATGTTTTTTTTTTTTTTTTTTTTTTGAAGGTTATTTTTTTTTTTTTTTTTTTCATTTATTCTTTTTTTTTTTTTTTTTTTAACTTTAATGTTTTTTTTTTTTTTTTTTGAATCTTCTTTTTTTTTTTTTTTTTTTTCAGAATATCTTTTTTTTTTTTTTTTTTTCTGCATATCTTTTTTTTTTTTTTTTTTTTTCTACATCTTTTTTTTTTTTTTTTTTTCAATGCTACTTTTTTTTTTTTTTTTTTTCCAGTAACACTTTTTTTTTTTTTTTTTTTACATCAGAATTTTTTTTTTTTTTTTTTAAAATAGGATTTTTTTTTTTTTTTTTTTCGTTTCTGATTTTTTTTTTTTTTTTTTTTGCCTGAACATTTTTTTTTTTTTTTTTTGTGTGTGTGTTTTTTTTTTTTTTTTTTTTGTGTGTGTATTTTTTTTTTTTTTTTTTTTATGAGGCATTTTTTTTTTTTTTTTTTAGGCATACCATTTTTTTTTTTTTTTTTTGGGTAAATGGTTTTTTTTTTTTTTTTTTCATTTATCCTTTTTTTTTTTTTTTTTTTATCCAATTCTTTTTTTTTTTTTTTTTTTAAATGTACAATTTTTTTTTTTTTTTTTTAGTCACCCTATTTTTTTTTTTTTTTTTTGATCTTATTCTTTTTTTTTTTTTTTTTTTATATAGATATTTTTTTTTTTTTTTTTTCTGTCTCTGTTTTTTTTTTTTTTTTTTTAATCCTTGGATTTTTTTTTTTTTTTTTTATTTTTGTACTTTTTTTTTTTTTTTTTTTTCTCCCCCATTTTTTTTTTTTTTTTTTTCCAGCCTCTTTTTTTTTTTTTTTTTTTCTCTATATTTTTTTTTTTTTTTTTTTTTATTTTTAGCATTTTTTTTTTTTTTTTTTCTAAATGTGATTTTTTTTTTTTTTTTTTTAGCTTATTTTTTTTTTTTTTTTTTTTTCAGTTCCACCTTTTTTTTTTTTTTTTTTAGGATATTATTTTTTTTTTTTTTTTTTTAATACTCGGTTTTTTTTTTTTTTTTTTTTTTCTGTATCTTTTTTTTTTTTTTTTTTCACTTTGGTTTTTTTTTTTTTTTTTTTTTTGTGGGTAGTTTTTTTTTTTTTTTTTTAGTGAAGATGTTTTTTTTTTTTTTTTTTGATGTGCTTATTTTTTTTTTTTTTTTTTGCAGTGGGATTTTTTTTTTTTTTTTTTTTTCTATTTTTTTTTTTTTTTTTTTTTTTCAAACTGTTCTTTTTTTTTTTTTTTTTTATATACATTCTTTTTTTTTTTTTTTTTTGGTTCCCTTTTTTTTTTTTTTTTTTTTTCATTTGTTATTTTTTTTTTTTTTTTTTTAAACCATTTTTTTTTTTTTTTTTTTTTTCCTCACTGTATTTTTTTTTTTTTTTTTTCTGATGGTCATTTTTTTTTTTTTTTTTTTCATATACTTTTTTTTTTTTTTTTTTTTTTCTTTTGAGTTTTTTTTTTTTTTTTTTTTTGCCCATTTTTTTTTTTTTTTTTTTTATTTTTTCCTTTTTTTTTTTTTTTTTTTCTTATATGTTTTTTTTTTTTTTTTTTTTTCAGATGAATTTTTTTTTTTTTTTTTTTCGTATTCTGTTTTTTTTTTTTTTTTTTTGTTGATTGTTTTTTTTTTTTTTTTTTTTTTTAACTTGATTTTTTTTTTTTTTTTTTTTTTTGCTTTTTTTTTTTTTTTTTTTTTGGTATCACTCTTTTTTTTTTTTTTTTTTTGTTTTGGAGTTTTTTTTTTTTTTTTTTTTTTCATAGTTTTTTTTTTTTTTTTTTTAGATTTAAGTTTTTTTTTTTTTTTTTTTTGATTTTTCTTTTTTTTTTTTTTTTTTTGTGTAGTTTCTTTTTTTTTTTTTTTTTTATCTAGTTTTTTTTTTTTTTTTTTTTTTAGAGACTGTCTTTTTTTTTTTTTTTTTTCTTGGTACCTTTTTTTTTTTTTTTTTTTCTGTAGATATTTTTTTTTTTTTTTTTTTTTGCTATTCTTTTTTTTTTTTTTTTTTTTCTGTTTTTATTTTTTTTTTTTTTTTTTTTGATTACTGTTTTTTTTTTTTTTTTTTTGAAGTGAAGTTTTTTTTTTTTTTTTTTTTTGTTCTTTTTTTTTTTTTTTTTTTTTGCTATTCTGGTTTTTTTTTTTTTTTTTTTAAATTTCAATTTTTTTTTTTTTTTTTTTGTGAAGAATTTTTTTTTTTTTTTTTTTGGGATTGCATTTTTTTTTTTTTTTTTTTTGGGTAGTATTTTTTTTTTTTTTTTTTTGATTCCTCTATTTTTTTTTTTTTTTTTTTTTTCCAGGCTTTTTTTTTTTTTTTTTTCCTGTAATCCTTTTTTTTTTTTTTTTTTAGATGGGCGGTTTTTTTTTTTTTTTTTTCGAGACTATCTTTTTTTTTTTTTTTTTTCCCCGTCTTTTTTTTTTTTTTTTTTTTTTAGCCGGGCATTTTTTTTTTTTTTTTTTGTCCCAGCTGTTTTTTTTTTTTTTTTTTGAGAATGGCGTTTTTTTTTTTTTTTTTTCTTGCAGTGATTTTTTTTTTTTTTTTTTCACTCCAGCCTTTTTTTTTTTTTTTTTTTCTGTCTCAATTTTTTTTTTTTTTTTTTTTCCATATTATTTTTTTTTTTTTTTTTTGAAACATCAATTTTTTTTTTTTTTTTTTATAGAGAGCTTTTTTTTTTTTTTTTTTTTTTATTCCTATTTTTTTTTTTTTTTTTTTAGCTATTATTTTTTTTTTTTTTTTTTTGATTTATTTTTTTTTTTTTTTTTTTTTTGCAAATAGACTTTTTTTTTTTTTTTTTTGGTCGATTTTTTTTTTTTTTTTTTTTTTGAATTTGTTATTTTTTTTTTTTTTTTTTTTGGTGGAGTTTTTTTTTTTTTTTTTTTATAAGATTATTTTTTTTTTTTTTTTTTTTAATTTGATTTTTTTTTTTTTTTTTTTTATGCTGATATTTTTTTTTTTTTTTTTTTTGCCCAAATCTTTTTTTTTTTTTTTTTTCCCAATGATGTTTTTTTTTTTTTTTTTTAGGTGATTGGTTTTTTTTTTTTTTTTTTTCATGAAAGGTTTTTTTTTTTTTTTTTTGGTGCTGTTCTTTTTTTTTTTTTTTTTTTCTTGTGAGATTTTTTTTTTTTTTTTTTTGTAGCATCTTTTTTTTTTTTTTTTTTTTCCTACTCTGTTTTTTTTTTTTTTTTTTGCTTCCCCTTTTTTTTTTTTTTTTTTTTTAAGTTTCCTTTTTTTTTTTTTTTTTTTGAGCAGACGGTTTTTTTTTTTTTTTTTTTACAGCCTGCTTTTTTTTTTTTTTTTTTAACCTCTTTTTTTTTTTTTTTTTTTTTTCTCAGGCATTTTTTTTTTTTTTTTTTTTAATGGACTAATTTTTTTTTTTTTTTTTTCTTTCTCTTGTTTTTTTTTTTTTTTTTTGACTTCCAGTTTTTTTTTTTTTTTTTTTAGTGAAAGTGTTTTTTTTTTTTTTTTTTCAGACCTTTGTTTTTTTTTTTTTTTTTTTTCCTCATTTTTTTTTTTTTTTTTTTTTGGTAGTCTGTTTTTTTTTTTTTTTTTTTCGTTGGGGTATTTTTTTTTTTTTTTTTTTTTTGTGAAGTTTTTTTTTTTTTTTTTTTGTTGAATTTTTTTTTTTTTTTTTTTTTCATCAATTGATTTTTTTTTTTTTTTTTTGTCCTTCGTTTTTTTTTTTTTTTTTTTTACACTGACTGTTTTTTTTTTTTTTTTTTATCTATGCATTTTTTTTTTTTTTTTTTTTTGGTCATGATTTTTTTTTTTTTTTTTTTATTGTTGAATTTTTTTTTTTTTTTTTTTGTTGAGTATTTTTTTTTTTTTTTTTTTTTTTCTTTTTTTTTTTTTTTTTTTTTTTATTTTGGTATTTTTTTTTTTTTTTTTTTATAGACTGAGTTTTTTTTTTTTTTTTTTTCTTCTATTTTTTTTTTTTTTTTTTTTTGGATTAATGTTTTTTTTTTTTTTTTTTTTTGATAAAATTTTTTTTTTTTTTTTTTTGGTCGTGGGCTTTTTTTTTTTTTTTTTTTTCTTATTATTTTTTTTTTTTTTTTTTTTGTTACTGGTTTTTTTTTTTTTTTTTTTTCTTCATGATTTTTTTTTTTTTTTTTTTGTCTAGGAATTTTTTTTTTTTTTTTTTTATTTCCCTTTTTTTTTTTTTTTTTTTTTGTTGCTGATGTTTTTTTTTTTTTTTTTTCACTTTGAGATTTTTTTTTTTTTTTTTTACTCAGGTCCTTTTTTTTTTTTTTTTTTTGTGTACACATTTTTTTTTTTTTTTTTTGCCACAGTTGTTTTTTTTTTTTTTTTTTGTGGTATACATTTTTTTTTTTTTTTTTTTGGCTCTTTTTTTTTTTTTTTTTTTTTTATCCTGGTGGTTTTTTTTTTTTTTTTTTCAGTGGCCTTTTTTTTTTTTTTTTTTTTTAGATTTGGCTTTTTTTTTTTTTTTTTTTGCCAAAGAGTTTTTTTTTTTTTTTTTTAACACCCACCTTTTTTTTTTTTTTTTTTCTCCCCACAGTTTTTTTTTTTTTTTTTTAGAGCGAATCTTTTTTTTTTTTTTTTTTTCTGATTCCATTTTTTTTTTTTTTTTTTTGCCCCAGCTTTTTTTTTTTTTTTTTTTTCACTACTTATTTTTTTTTTTTTTTTTTCTCCTCCAGGTTTTTT